TATAGCTGTGAGTAACAACATTAGAAAAATGGAATGAGTCTAATCAAGATCCTAGAAAAATAAGTACAATCCAAATCCTGATCTTGAACAAGGAAGGAAATTATAAAGAGAAGAGCAGAAACCAGTGAAAATGATACCCCCCCCAAAAATGCAAAGAATCAATGAATTGAAAACACAGTTCTTTGAAATAAAAAAAAAATAGATAAACCTTTAGCCAATTTCACCCCAAAAGAAGAAAGACACACAGTCCAATTATAAATGAAAAAGTTGAAATCCCAGTGGACACTGCCAAAACCTACAAAATTATTAGCAACTAATTTGCAAGTCTATATTCCAAAAAATTGGTGATCTCCAGAAGAAATAGATTCTTAGATACACATGAATTACCAAAACTGAAGCAACATTTGAAAATCTTGAATAATCCAATAAGCCGGGGATATAGCTCAGTGGCGTAAGCACCTGCCTGGCAAGTGAAAGGTCCTGAGTTCAATCCCTGGTACCTAAAAAAACCCCACAAAACCTGAATAATCCAATAACAGGCAATAAAGTTGAAATAGTAATAAAATACCTATCAACTAAAACAGCCCAGGACCTCATGGATTCACTGCTAAATTTTACAAGAATGTCAAGAAAGATCTAATACTCCTCCTCAAACTCTTGAAAGAAATTGAGAAGAAAAGAGTATTCCCATTTTTGATAGCCAGCATTACATTGATCTGAAAACCAGACAAGAATCCAATAAAAAAAAAGAGAGAACTAGTGAATCTCTGTAATGAATATAGAAGCAAAAAATATGGGCAGACAGAACAAAACAATTGATCAGGGCTGGGGAGATGGCTCAGTAGAATAAGCACTTGCCTGGTAAGTGCAAAGGCCTGAGTTCAATCCCCAGTTCTACCAAAAAAGGCAGCAAAAAAACCCCAAATGATCAAAAAGATCTATAGAAAAACCAAGTAGGCTTCATCTCAGGGATGCAAGAATAGCTCAACACAGGCAAATCAATAAATATAATTGAAGAGTGAACTATTATATGACTGATCTGTAAGTTCTTTCTTCTTCATTTTTATTTACTATTTATTTATTTATTGTGCAGTACCGGGGATTGAACTCAGGACCCTGCACTTGCCAGGCAAGCGCTTATTCTACTAAGCTATCTCCCTGGCCCCAATTTTTATTTTAGACAATTTTTATTGTTATATTCATTTAAATTTATAAATAATTTTTTACAATGTGTAATCTTTATTAATGCTATGTATTCATCTCAGAAATATTTCTCTAAAATTCACTGTCTATATCTTATATCTTTGACATTTCAATATTTGTCTAAAATTTTTAATTTGCTGTATAATTATCGATTTTCAGTAAAGTTAATAACGAGAAAAATAGGAAGTGAAAAAATAAATATAATTTACCACATAAATAGTAAAAGGACAAAAATTACATGATCTAGTAAAATCACTGTGGAAATTCCTCAAAAAAATAAGAGTTGGAATTCCATTAGACCCAGCTAAACCTCCTTTCTAGGTATCTTCCCCCAAAAGCTAAAGTCATCCTTGTACAGGTGCACATGCACACCCATGCTTACAGCAGCAGTTTATAATAGCTAAATCTTGGATATAGCCTATATGTCCATCAACAAATGAATAGACAAGGAAAATGTGGTATTTTTACACAATGCAGTACTACTTTGCATAAGGAAAGGTAAGCTTGAGGCACTCATAAGCAAATGGATGCAAGTTGAGAACATAGCATTAAGTGAAATAATTCAGACACACAAGCTTAAATATTGCATAATTTCTCTTATATGAAAAAATAATATATATATATTATATTATTATATAGTGATACTTTGGTTCACAAACTTAATTTTTTTCTGTGATTTTGGTTGTAAATCCAATTGAATAAGAGCCCAATCAAATTCAGTGATTAGATTCAATGTTTACCTTACAGAGAAATTTGAGAGAGACAAACAGCAAAATAGAAGATGGATAAATAGGGCACAGGGAAAAATTTAAACAATTTCTCAAATTATCATCTCAGTAAGAAAGAGGCTTTTGCCTATGATTGGCACTCTGAATAACATTTTGGCCAGTCTTAAAATTATGCTATACAGTATATTGAGTTGTTATTCTCTCATTTTTGTTAAGAATTTTTATTTTATTTTTTATAGAAGTAAAAAGAGTACTTTTTATATTTTCTTTAGTAACATTTACATGTATTATAATAAAATTTTAAAAAACAAAATGACCACCAGCCATGCCAGTTAAAGTCCGATATGAACAGCTAATTCTACAACTGCAGAAAGATTTCTGGCTCTGCTCAAAGCACCCTGTATAATCTAAGTAGAGGCTCAGCACCTGTTCTAGAGCTGTCACATCGAAGGAACTGTTTACCACAAATCCCAAAACTTAAAGCTAGTCCATCAAAATAGGTATGACAAGGGCAAAGATGATGTCTGATTTCTTGTCCACTCTTTTACATAAACCATATGCTTAGCCAAATACCCACATTCTGTCCGCACCTCATCCCCAAGCCCTTCTAGTAAAAGCAAAACCTCAACAAGAAGGATAAGCTTTTGTTACTGAAGGTACCAGCTGAAGCGTAGTGTTGCCATCAACCAGGAGGTTAGAAATCCAGAATCTCAGACTCACGCCTGCCTGGCTTATTCAGGATGCATGTGTTCTATATTGTTTTGTTTTGTTTTGTTTGTAGCACTAGAGATCAAACTCAGGGACTCACACATGATAGGCAAAACACCAACCACACTTCCACACCTTGTTTTTTCAATCAGGCAACCAGGCAATTCACATGCACATTAAAGTATACGAAGTACTGGCTTAAGCAGCATATTTGTTAAAGCACAGATAAAAAAGAATCACGATTTTTCCAATTAGCATGAAAATTAAAACACACACACATACGAGGCCATGGATTTAATCTCCACTACTGCAAAATATAAAATAACAAAAACTGGCAACTCACCTCATTTATGATGTGCTGTTAGGAACAAAGCAGCCCAAACCTCAAAGGCAGTGGCAATATCCAGATTTCCAGTTTGGGAGGTTTTCCAAGAGAGACTTTCAGCTAGAATCCAGGCCTGCTATCCAAACCTATGTAGCTTCCCTTCCTGCCACTTTACAGGGCAGGCGAAAGCTTCAGGACTCTTGTTGACCTTAACACAGATCCTACAGCCACCAGAAAACTGGGGCTTTTGAAACAAACTAGCCGTGAGGAAATAGCCAGGCTGAAGTTAAGAGTTCGTTCTCCTAGCTACTTGAGTTCCTTTTCTCTCCACCATAAGCTGGTTATCACTACGTTTCTTTCTCAACCCCTAGTATTCCAACAGGAGATGGCTTATCGCCGGCAATCACCTTAAGATCCTTTCCTGGTGCTCCTATCAGAGATTTAAAAAAGAAGAAGAAGAAGAAGAAGAAGAAGAAATAAAAGAAAAAGAAATTCACATCAGTGAGCTCTTTTTATATCTTGCTCTTTGTGCAACAGAATCCCGATGACAGAATCTCCACCACTAACGGCGACTTTATTTTGGTAACGGAAGGTTCAAAACCAATTATAGCGAGGGTTTTGCTCTGTATAAATTTCCTGTCTTTGCTAGCCGTGAAGCAAGCAGTGATCGTAGGCCCTGCCTTCTAGTAAAAAAAAAAAAAAAAAAAAAAAAAAAAAAAAAAAAAAAAAACACAAGCACAAGCGGAAGATGGGACAGATTTTAAAAGGAAATGAAAGCAAAGCTGAAACTGACAGTGTTGCTGCAGAGGCTTACCAGAGATTTCAAAAGGAAACAGAAGCAGACTGCAAACACGCTATCCTTCTAGAGCTATTCTTCCCTAAACCAGAAATAGAAGAGGACCACCAGACTGTGAGAAACAAGATATCCTAAATTAAGTCGCAGCCCAGAGGGTGGAGGGAAGAAAGAGATTTTTAAAAAATAATTGTTGAGAATAATCAAACTTTATTTTATAGCAGCAGGAGAGAAAGCAAGGTATAATTTGATACAACTTGAAGCTACTGAATTCTAACCTAACTTCATAACTATGTGTAAATCAAAAGTATGGGGAACAATGCTCAGTGAGTCTCTTCCAAGTTTTTAGCACTAAAGGGCATAGCTGTCTTACAACCAACCAACACATCACCACCCTCTCCCCAGAACCCTGTGGGAATCATCAAACTATATGAGAGACATATACTTGCTCCTAGACAAAAAGTCAGTTTTACTTGTAGAGAAGGAGACTTCATACAAAGCAAGTTCTCTACTTAAGTGTTCCAATCATGGAAAGTATTGATGTTTGGAAATACTAAGAATGAAAGCTCTACAGTTTTAAACTGCCTGACTCTGGAGGAAAGACATGCGCTCTCTCTCTCTCTCTCTCTCTCTCTCTCTCTCTCTCTCTCTCTCCCCATCCCCCCAATCTGGAGTGCTGTCAGGGAGCTTGTCAGAAGCTCTGGCCCTGTGATACCATGAAATTTATTAACACAGTGCATGGACTATATAAACTTCATATTTCTCCAATCTGGAGGGTCTCTACTAAAAGTATGACTGAAAAATCAGAAAGATTCAATATTTTAGAATTCCCAATAAAGTCAGACTGTGTAGTCTGTACTTACAATCTCAGCTACTCCTGAAGTTGAGGCAGGAGGACCTCCTGAGCCCAGAAAGTTAAGGCCAGCCTAGACACTAGAACATCCTCAAAATTGTTTAATCTCCAGGAAAATAAGAAAAATTTATCCTAACTCACAACTTCAAGTTAAGTCAACAATGCAATAAAAGAAATGGCTTCACATTCCTTCACTGGATTTGAAGATCAGCCATCAAGGCCACATCATATTTTGTTTTGGCACCAACCAACCCAGACACACAAAAACTACATTTACCAAGCTCCTTTCCCAGGACATTGCCTACTTCGTGTTGTCCCACTTCCTTTATCCATGGCTGGTGTGGGTTCAGTGTAAATCATTTATGATTTCTTCTCCGCACATTTTCTTCATGCCACACTGCACTATTTAATGTCTGTGGATCTTTTTCCAACTGTTATCTGGCTATGCTGCTGGGAACTTTGTCCCAGGAAAAATTGTGAATGTAATTAATGCTACTTAACATTGTTAAGTGAGAGCTTTTAAGTGATATATATATATATATATATATATATATATATATATATCTACAATAAAATAAATGGATAAGTAGAATTTCTTCAAGATTTTTCTAGCCTTGTTTCAAGAAAAATTTCCTAAGCTACCAACATCTTTTATTTTTGACTAGAATCAGTAACAACATAATCAAGCCCTTAATTCAAAGATCTCTTAGTCTTAACAGTTCAACCATATCAAATAAGCACGTCATCTGTCTAAGGAAATAACAGTCTCTAAAAACGTTTGGTTACATTCCTTAGTGGCTTTGACAAGGTTTTAAATCAAGCTTTCAAAAAAAAAAAAAATAAAACACACACACACACACACACACACAGATAAGAAGATAAGAACAAGATCTTCTTCCCAGAGTTGTCATGATGATTTCATGGGATACAGAAACGCCACTTACTGAATCTACCATGCTGAATGTAAACTCTCTTTCCCACAGGCACCACCCTAGCAACTGCCAGAGCTTCTTCCACCAAAACTGCCTTCCCTTCATGAGTCCATAATTTCACTGCTATTGTCCTCTATAATTTTTAAAATCATTATAGTTATAGATCTGGTGGTGGAAGTGGTGGATATGGAGCAGAAGGTTTCAAAAAAAAAAGATAAAAGATAAAAATAAATTTTTACAAATGGCAAAATATTCAGAATCAAGATAAAAATTGAGTCTTCTATGTGTCTATCACAGCCATTAAGTTTCTGGAAAATTTGAATCTTCTCTGTACCCATAATGGCATTAAGTTTTTCTAAAGATCATTGTTTTGCAAAAATGAGATTATTATACAATGGCTTGATTGAATTTTGGATTAAATACACAATGCCCATGAAGGAAATGATGATAGGTGGTTTATGCTTAATAGTTTCAAAGACCTTAAAAACAGGTGGATGATAAGCGTACATGGAGCTGCTTATGCATGGAGGGTGTCAATGGATACAGGTCTATTTCATTTATTATTTCTTCCTTATGCTAACTTTTGTCTTCGTTGTTTGTTTGTTTTTTTTTTTTTTTTTTTGTTTTTTGTTTTTTGTTTCTGTGGAACCGGGGATTGAACTCAAGCCCTTGTGCTTGCCAGGGAAGCACTTATTCCACTGAGCTATCTCCCCTGCCCCTGGATACAGGTCTAAAGTTGGCCAAGGATTTGAAATTTACCTATACAGTTAAATAGTTCCAAAACTTAGTGGCAAAGAAACAGTAAACGTGGCCACGCGGCGCCTCCCCGCTGCTGCGCACTGTGCGCACGGTGACACGAGCGCGGTGGGCATGGAGGGCTTCTCAGCGCCGACCTACTGCAGGAGCGCGCCGGACCACAGGCCGCTGTTCCTGGAAACGTCAGCGCGGGACCGAATCGTCAATCTGGTTGTTGGCAGCTTCACGTGCTTATTGATTCTAGTAACGCTGATAAGTGCTTTTGTGTTCCCTCACCTACCTCCCAAACCACTGAATATTTTTTTTGCTGTCTGCATCTTTCTGAGCAGTGCTACAGCCTGCATACTTACCTACTGGTATCGACAAGAAGACTTAGAACCGAAATTTAGAAGTCTAATTTACTGTATCTTATTTTCAATCACCATGCTGTGTATATGTGCAAACCTGTACTTCCACGACGTGGGAAGGTGAGGCTGTCAAGAAGAGGCCCTGACCAGGGCGCTTGAGAACTACCTGTGAGGGCAGGAGACTGCGGGCCAGATGCACGGACCAGTCTGCCAGGAAAGGTCGACACGAGACTTCCTGTGAACTACAGATCTGAGCTCCCTCTTGCCAGGGAAACACATCACAGATCTCTTTGCTTTTTCTTTAAAGAGCCAATGTTGCACTTAATCATTCCAACCCTTAAAGCCAACTCAAACAGCACAAGTAACTTTTACATTTGAAATTAAATTTTTTTACAATTCAGTTGCATGGTAAAGACTCAGAATATTGCATTTTAAGACAGATAGTCCTTTATTTCTGTTAAACTGAATATACAATAATTGTTCCCTAGGCAACCAACTTGCTTTTAACTACAATTTCACGTTAACAAAACAGACGGTGAAAAGACAACTTTGATTGTGAAGATCTAATTACAGTAATAAATAAAA